GTGGTTATGCATCAGGCTGCAATACATTAGGTCAGCAGTTTGAAACCACCAACCACTCTGTGGAAGAAAGATGGGCTTTCTACTCTCATAAAGAGTTACAGTCTTGGAAACTTACAGGGGCAGGGGGAAACCTTTCCTATAGGGTTGCAATGAGTCACCATCTACTCACTCAATGGCAGTGAGTTTAGTAGAGGGTGTGGCTTAAGACACGATCCTTTGTTTTCCCTGGGAGACAACCCACATCTCCATGAAATTCATTTCTCAGTATATAAGAGCCATGTAAGACACAGAGAAAAGTCCCCCGGACCTTGGAAGAGCACATCCAATCCAGCCATGGACTTGGTTGCTGACTGAGGAGAGGTATTGCTGTGGACTAAAGACTGTGTCCTCACTGTTTGCTGATCCTAACTTGTGGTAACCTATTAGCTTCCTGAATAGATCTCCTTAATTATGAACTTGTCCGTGAGTTCTGTGTGGCCATTGCAATGAATTATGGAACTCAGCATAGATGTAGAGTGGCTGGAAGAATGGCTGGTGTCAGAAGAGGGTAAAGAAGAAAGGAGGGTGAAGTCATGTCTTACCTCAGCCTTGTGACAACAGGGAAGCCAGAGAAGGTCCAATTTGTCCACCTCCACTGCCATGTATTGCAGCCTCTTCATATGAGATCAATTTGCATAAATCCACAACATCTTACATACTTTACATAAGTGATTGGAGTATGTCATTTAAAAAATAATTCCATTCAAAATGTTGATAAAACAGCTACAAAAATATTAAAATATTACTATGAATATTATATGCTTTTTTTAAAGACCTAAGTACATGGATGTTCCCAGTTGAAGCCTAGGGAGTTCAAATCAAAATCTCAACAAGGTCTTTCACAGGACTCAACCGTTGATCTCATACACTTAAGTTTAAAAAAGGATATTTACTCAAATAGACTGTCACTTTAAAGTGACAGTAACTCAAAAGGGAAAAAATTGTCATTGAAAATAAAAAGGTGCATAATAAGCAAATGTGTTGAAGAAAGCTGATGGTGCCCAGCTATCAAAAGATATAGTGCCTGAGGTCTTAAAGGCTTGAAGATAAACAATGGCCATCTAGTTGAGAAGCAAGAAAAGCCCACATGGAAGAAGCACAACAGCCTGTATGATCACAAGATGTCGATAGGATGAGGTTTCAGGCATTAAAGAGCAAAAAATCCTATCATTGTGAATGGAGTGGAGTGTGGAGTGGAGACGCAAAGCACCTCTGTAGGCAACTGGACATCCCCTCACAGAAGAGTCACAAGGAAGAGACGAGCCAGTCAGGATGCAGTATTAGCACTGACAAAACATACAACTTTTCTCAAGTTCTTTAATGCTTCCTCCACCCCACCCCCACCCCACTATCAGCATCCCAAGTCTACCTTACAAATCCGGCTAGACTAGAGCATGTACACTAGTACAGATAAGAGTTCACAACACAGGGAATCCGGGATAGATAAACTCCTCAGGACCAATAAGGAAAGTAGAAATACCAGGAGGGTAGGAGGAAACTGGGAGAAGGGGGAACCGATCGCAATGACACCCCCAAAGGGGGGATGAAGAACAGAAAAGTGGGTGAAGGGAGACAGTGGTCAGTGTAAGATAGGGGGGGGAATGTTTTAATTATCCAGGGTTCACAAAGGAGGGAGAGAGGAGAGAGGGGAAGAAAATGAGGAGCTGACACCAAGGGCTCAAATAGAAAGAAAATGTTTGAAAATGATGATGGCAACAGATGTACAAATGTGCTTGACACAATGGATGTATTATGGATTGTTATGAGAGCTGTAAAAGCCCCCAATAAAATGATTTTTTATAAAAAAAAAAGAACATGTAAAAACTAAAAAAGAAAAGAAAGAGGTCATTAAAACAGGATATTGGATGAAGGAATCTGAAGATTAACCCCTCTTGTATAGTCTAAGGCCATGGTCATTTGTCATGAACATTAGATGCTATAAAGGCTTATAACTAACTCAAGAAAAGCTGGGCACATCCAGGCATGGGCCATACTAGCTTTAAGAGATCGAATCTAAAAGTTACAAAGAGGAGAGGAACAAAATATGACATCACAAATCCTTTCTATATTGCACATTGTCGTGTACATTTTGTATGTTTGCTACTTTTGTTGTTGTTCATTTTATTTTATTTTACTTTTTAATCATTTTATTAGGGGCTCATGCAACTCTTATCACAATCCATACAGACATCAATTGCGTCAAGCACATTTGTACATTGATTCTCAAAACATCCGCTCTCTACCTGTTTGCTACTTTTTAATGATTTTTTTAGGGAGATGAAACTTGCCTTTGATGCCTGCCTTAAACATATTCTCATGTAGCTCACCACTGTCAACCATCCTGGCAAAAAAAAAAAAAAACTAGATGGGGATAAAACAAGTCATGTCCAGGTTGTGTCTGAGGGGCTTACCCCAGCCCGTCTCTACTGAGACAGCCTCAGTACCATTAGAAATTAGCATGGTTGGAGCAGTGGTTCGCAACCTTCCTAATGCCACAACCCTTTCATACAGTTCCTCATGTTGTGGTGACCCCCAACCACAAAATTATTTTCATCGCTACTTCATAACCGTAATTTTGCTACTGTTATAAATCGGGCAACCCCTGTGAAAGGGTCGTTTGACCCCCAAAGGGGTCTCGACCCACAGGTTGAGAACCTCTGGGATAGAGCATGTGATAAAAGGGTAGTGTTATCCTGAGGATAAAATGAAGATAATTTATTGACTGTTTCCTTGTATGCTCACTGAACAAAAATTTTCAAAGATTTTATTACATAATTTAGGACCTGGCAAGGAAAATAAAGTCTCCTGCACTCTTGGGATCTTGGACCAGGAATTTCCCTAAAATATGTAAGAACTTAATATATGATAGCAGGCATAAAAAAAGAGCGTGTTCAATACATGGTGCTAAGATAATTTGTTATCTACCTGGATAGTTAGATCCCTAAATCCAATAGGCACATCCTTTGTAAATAAAGCCCAAAATATAAAAACCAAAATTTTTAGAAACAATTCTAGAAATGTAATTTACTTCAAAGTTAATATTCTAGAATTCTAAAAATTAACTTCAGAGTTAATTATATTTCTTAAAGTAAGAACAAAAAAGCGATTAAATATTAATATACTTGACAACATCAGTATTAAAAACTTCTCTAAGCTGACGTCATTGTTTTAAAAGCAAAGATGATAAACCATAAGTTGGCTGAGATATCTGTAGAGAAAATAATCAGCAAAGGTTATAAAGGCTGCATAAAGAAGACCTACCGAACCATAACAAAAAGGACATAATCCAGTAGAAAAAGTATATGAACACATGAACCAAGGAGAAGGAGCCCTTATGGACAATAAACATATGCAAGCTATTCAGCTAAATAGGGATCAGGGAAATGTCTATTAATACAAAATACACTAACATTTTTAAAGCATTGGAGAGCAGACAATGAAAAGAGGCGGTCCTACAAAGAATGCCACGGCTGACATGGCAGCAAGTAGCGGGACGGTCATTAGTTACCATGCCTCGCAGGTTGGGGAGTGACTAGATCGTTAACCAGGATGGGTAATGGGAGGTGCGTTGGAGGTAACTGTGCACTATCCCCTTGAGAGTTGGCATACACAGGCCTGCAGCTGAAAGGTCTGGCTTAAAGATACAGTATTTTGGCCACTAACCCAAAGGTTGGAGGTTTTAGTGCAGCCCGAGGCCACTCAGAAGGCAGGCCTATGTTCTACTTCCCCAAATGAAAGACCGTAGAGCACCCAGCTCTACCCTGACACATATGGGGCTGCCAGGAGTTGGGGTTGAGTCTTTGAGCAACTGGTGCCATCGTTGCCCTGAAAGAGTGTGAAGAAAGAGATGGGAGAGAAGCCAATGAGTCAGAATCGGGAGGAAACCCCAACATCATCTTTAGAAGCAACCGTCTATCTTCCGAAAGATCAATTTTGTGAAACCAGGTGGAGATGCCTCATCTAGTTTCCAACTTAATGGAGGGCTTTTGTTGGTTGATTTAAAACCATTTTTTATTATTAAAAACCCAGTGTGTTTGCTAAATCAATGGAAAGAAATGCAGGCCGTTACTGTAGCATTTGTCTTTTGAACGGGGAATTGAGTTTGACTGTGAGAACATCTGAGTGACCTGTAAAGTGATATGGTGGATTAAGGTCCCATTAGGGGGAGGAAGAACCACTTAGAAACCAGCAGGAAAGCTGTGTTTCTTTTCATAAGCAATTATTTGATAATAAATATGTGCTAGCAATGCCATAATACCTTGTAGAAATCACGGTTACTGTTTGTGATGGAAAGTCTCTAATGCCAATTGACTGTGGAGTCTAAAGAGACTGGACTCTGGTCTTCCAGATTCTTCTCCTTTTGTTACTGAGCTTTTCTTTCTCACCCTTACGGAATAACAAAGATAGATTGGCCATGTGTGAGAGAGCGACATTAATGTACTCTCCTTCGTCATGTTACCGAAACCACACACAGTCTGTTTGGTTTTTTAAAAGCAAGTATCTAAAAGACAAAGTGCATTTGCTTACTTGATTTTGTTTCCCAAACATGGAAGGAATGTTGGTTTTTACAACCAACTCAAGAACAAAACTGTGAGTATTGCTCAAAGTGAATAAGTGTAGTCAACCCTCTTAACATGGCTGTAGAATGGAAATGGATGTTTCTAGAATGTGTGGGTCCCTGGTTGTGGAGTAGTTATGCCTTGGGCTGCAATTCTCTTGGTCAGCACTTTGAAATTTCCAGCAGTTCCACGGGAGAAAGACTTTGATTTCTACTCCCATAAACAGTTACGGTCTTGGAAACCCAGAGGGCTCTCTATGAGTCAAAATGGACTTGGTGACAATAAGTTTGATTTGGGTATAGAACATGTACAGTATGTGTAATATGGTCTTTAATCCTTATTTTTAAAGATACTTTTATTTGTTTAAACAAGAATGCTGGACTTATGTTTCTGGAGTAATTCTTCATGGAAAAAAATATCATGATTTATTTGAAATATACATAAACTTTCACAAACTAAACAATGTGCAAATCAAACGATTAAAAATATGTCTGTACATCATGAAGTTTAATATGAATGTCCAAGAGAAACAAAAGTAACTTTTAATGTGTTGAATTTCCACATGGTTTAAATCAAAAAGTTTCTTTTGTGCTTGTGAAAAACGTCATACAAAGGATTGAAATATTGGACACCCAGCATCATACACAAGCAATAAGCCATCCAAACACATATGAGTTCTATAAAACATAGATCGATTTACTCCAATGATACAGGAAACATTCGCATTGTAGAGGGAGCACTGATACAGCAGTAACAATCTAAATGCTCATAATTTGATCAGGACAAATAATGTATCTTACAGAGGTAAATTCTAAACACAGTGAACTATATAAAAATGATGTGCTGGACTCCATGTTTCCTTGCACCAATAATCATCCATTATCGTTGTCCATATTAAAGATTTAAGGCACCGGAAACACATGGAGCCGAAGAGAGCAAAACAGGCTTTCCTCTAACTTATAAAATTGACTAGTCATTCCATTTCCCTAGGCGATTATACATCGATCAGTAGCTGCAACAATAAGTTATATGGTCCAAACTGATGGAAGAGCTGGTGGAACAACATAGTGGAATTTATTTGCTGCCATTCAGAGACTCGAACCAAGTTGTTCTTGGCTGAAGCCAGTGATGCCACATTTATTACCTCTGAGTCTATAAATTCTGTAGGGTTATCAATATTCTTTTGAATTGTTCAAATTCTCTTTAAGGAGTTAGGTCTCTTTATAAACATTTCCCCCCTTAAGTATATGGGAACACTATTTTATTCCATCTGACTTACTCAAACATCCTGTCATGTGATAAGAACATCCTGTCATGCGATATGTCATGTGATGAGAACAAAAAACAAGCAGATCTTCACACCAGAACATTTGAAAAAAGGCAAAAAATAAAATCTTACGATATTTCTGGGGGGGAAATGATATTTGATAACAATGAACGGTATGGACTTGCATCTGAAAAAGACTACATTTTAAACAGAAAAACAAAACAAAACGAAACACATTCCATTCCAGGGAGACATTACATTCACACAGGGTAATGGGCATCTTCTGTACTGATGTTGGACATTCAGTTCTCAGAACATTAAATCAGGCTTGATTTCGGTATTTACTGCGCCTGGCCACTTGGTAACAAAAGGAGTCCTTGATACCTGAATGCAAATCACACTTACAAGTGCCCATCCACAAACCGAAGTAAAAACCTTTAAACCGAGCCTGTATTGGTATGAAAGAGTCTGCAGCTAAATTATATGGTACTTAAAGTTGGATGAAAAAAATTAATCTGTACTTATTTCAGGAAGAAAATACATATCTATTCTATCTCTTCCCATATGACAAAATGAATATGCTTAATATCTATCCTGAGGATAAATCTTTCATTAAAATGCTGGTAGCTTTCTTATTTGAAAAGTACATTGAGTCTCTGTTAGCATCTGCAGGAATCAAGTTTTAAAGCACCATATACATAATTTCTTAGCATTTCCTCTCCACATGCTTGTAGGCGTCATTTCTCTCACCTTCACCCAAGAGCCTTCTTCTATTAATAATGCTGTGCCTGATGAGACCAGGTTTCCTGCTTTACAGCATGAGTGCATCTGTGTCAGTCTCTTATAGATATAATATTTTTACTAAGATTGGCAACGGTTTCCGATGTGATTCTTCTGTTTAACCTCTTTTTTTAAACTTTGCGTTTCCTACTTACTGAGCAAAATAAATGTAAAAAGTAGACCTGCTCACTAATCTGTAATCATCAGTTAGCAACATAAGGCGCCTTCCTGTTGTTCTGGGTCCACAATTTTAAACACACGTATTTTTTGGTAGGTGAAAGAGCTTCTCCATTTGTATAACAGGTAGGTCACTATAGTATAGATTTTGAGAATATTGGCTTCTGGGCTATAATTGGGAAATAGTAGCATGAATAATTCCATAGGAGCATGGTTTCACATGTCTATTATAAAGCTCTCTGGCTGACTCTGTCTGACATTGATATGGAATAGTGCTATCTTTCACAACCATGGCAGGAACTAAAACTTTCGAATAATTCATAGAAAAAGATATTCTTATGAGTCTGGCATTTTAATATTACCTCCAAAACATAAGAAAGGGGTTGTTTAATAAGTGAAAGTCCTCCTATTGCCAATAAAAAATAAGTATAAAGTTACCTTAAGGAAAACTTGTCATATTTTATTATTGAAAGTCTATCGGCACTCGCTAACAATTTTAATGGAAGCTAATCCATGAGAAATGTCTTTAGCATGGAAATGACCTCCGTTAAAATCTTATTTGTTCTGCCAAACCCCTAATTGCCCCATTCCATTAACAAACCAGATATCTATAAATTTCTTATAATCCAATTAAGCACTTTGAAAAACGCTACATAAAATTACAGCTATGGTAGCTAGGTATTCAGAATTGCAAAGAACTAATTCTTTGAAGCATTTCCTTGAGTGTTGCCTAAAAGCTGCTGAAAGCATGTCTCCATAAAGCAGTGTATGAAGCCTGTCCGAGATTTCTTTGGGCCCACTGCTCACATGAATGGACCCTGCATCTCCCAGGATCGCTCCTCTCTATCTGCCATAGAGGACATCATCCCCAGGAGAAGACTTCCACATCTGGGAGTGAGTTAACATTCATCATTCATGTTTCCAACTCATCTCCAATGAGATGGCCAAATGTTCATTCTTCGCAGTTGAGTTCTTCTAGATGTTATTATTTATTTTTTATAGTACAAGATGTGCAAAATGTCTGAAGTGATAGTTGTTATCCATCCCTTGAAGTAGGTCACAATTATATCTTTTTTTTTTTTTTTGACAAATGGGAAACCTACACAAACAATAGGAGAATGGGTTCCCATTGTTTTCAACGTTGTGCTGTAGTTATTGGGTCCTCTTCTTCTCTAGGTGCTTGATTTTGAGACCCGGCATTAACTTTCGTGTAAATTATTTGATGTGTGCATTATGGAACCGACGCTAAAGGAATTCCCTAAGATTTAAGCATCATCATAAAATGAGAAAAGAAGGAAAAATGAGAAAGAATACCTTTTTCAAAGAAAAGACAGAAAAAATGTTTTATTAAACAAAGTAAAGAAAATCACTTTGATATAATTAGTTACAAGTTCTTATATTCGATCCCTTATTTTTATAAGCTATTAAAATTAGTAATGTCAGAGCCAGTAATGGTGTGCGAATTTATTGCCTGTAATTCACAAGTGCTTTATATTGTCTCATTTGAAAAATTATGCCTACCATCATAGAAAGCAATGTCTATTTTTTATACTAGAAATATAGTAGTCCATCTATATCTCCCCAGATCTTTGCAATACTGAAGCAATTTCATCTCTGTTTATACTCCCTATTTCCAGAAATTATTAAAATCGCTTCTAAGGAAAATGCAGCCATTTCCTACAGTATGATTAAGTGCTGTATATAACTGCCAACTACTACTACTTTGAGTCTATAGTTGGGTATAAAATCTAGAGCAGAAAAAGCCTTTAAACATATGATGAATAATGGATCTTTAGAAGACACTAGAATTTGAAATTCAAATGTACAGCCTATTTATAATAACAAGAATATTCTTTAGTTTGAGAAAAAAATAATTATTTCTATATTTAAGAAAAGAAGGGCATCATCTCTTAAGCATTCAAAGTACAAATGCAACTTTAGTTTTCCTGATAAATACCTTAAAAAGGCAACAGTAACTATCAAGTTAGAGAACAACATGTGCAATGAAGCCAGTTTCATTATGACAATTTTTTTTTTAAGTTTCTTCAATAATTTCTCTCAAATAGTTTATAGTCATATAGACGGGAACTCTCCTTGGAAGCTTCATCTCATTTCAGCTAGCCATGAAAATAAACATTTGCTGATATCCTTGGGGGCAAAAGCATGAGAAACACCATCCTAATAGAAATAAGATGGAAAGTAAGGGAAATTGAGTGGTGAAAAACTCTTCACTTAACCTCCTGTTTTCTTCCTATTATATAGTCTCTTGTTTGTTTGTTTGAGGGGGCAGTGAGGAACAAACTTGGGGAGAACTGAATTTTGGAATGGACAAAGTCGAGTATTCTAATAAAATAACAAGAGGGGGAATCTCTTTTGGTAAAGGTGAACCGATCAATGATAGTATACCAGGCTCTCCAGACCAGCTAACAGGCTGTCACATAATTTGATGTTCCTTTGTAATTCCTTCCTGAGCGTGTACCATTAACGTCATGGGTACTAGAAAAGCATGGTGGTAGAGGAAGAGGATGACAAGAGTAATCACTAGTTCTCTGAATGAAAACCTTGCACTGTCTTTTCCATTTGTTTCAGCTGGATTTTGGCTAAGGAAGAAGAAAGAAAAGACTATCACGGAGTAACAGACCCATTTCAATCTCTGGCCATCTGAAAATTCTCTCTGAGACTAAGCTGCAATTTTTGCATTCGAGGGTTTATTGCTTTAAGAAAATATTATATGCTTCCCTCATGCCATTTCTTTACAATTCTCTACTTTCATAGATAGCTTTAAACTAAACTGCCATTTTTTTTTGTACTAGAAATATAGTAGTCCATCTATATCTCCCCAGATCTTTGCAATACTGAAGCAATTTCATCTGTTTATACTTCCTATTTCCAGAAATTATTAAAATCGCTTCTAAGGAAAATGCAGCCATTTCCTACAGTATGATTAAGTGCTGTTTATAACTGCTAACTACTACCTTGAGTCTATGGTTGGGTATAAAATCTGGAGCAGAAAAAGTGAGGAGGAGGGGAAGCAGAGAGGATCACAGTATTCTAATAAAATAACAAAAGGGGGAATCTTTTTAGTAAAAGTGAATCGGATCACTTTATTAGAATAAAGTGATGCTCTCTGCTTCCCCTCCTTGACAAAGACAATGGAGTTCATTGTCTTCCAGCGCAAATACCCCTCAGCCCCTTGCTGAATGTTTTCTAAATGACTTCTCAAAACATACCATAAAAATGAGTTGCTTTCCTTTAGTAGCTATTGAGGTCTTGCTATTCAGCCACTAATTTTACAATTCAGTAGGTAGTATTCAACCACAGTGTCCCATAATGTGTACAACAATAACTGTGTACTTATTGTTCAAGTATGATAACTCTTCATTTTGCTTATGACCCATGTACTCTCCTGAACAAGCACAAACAACCATCTACGCCACCACAGCATAGTCCTTGTTTTGCTCATTGTTCTCGTTTTCTTGCGGACTGGTGATTTTTACTTCTGGCCTTGGTGGTCTTTGAGGATCTAAATCAGTCTGGAGGGAAGTAAACAAAATAAGGCACGTTAGCGGTCAAACGTTAATAAAACTTCTAACACAACAAACGCTCTGCCAGAGTCAATTCTGACCCACAGGGGGCGCTGTAGGCAGAACGGCTCCTATGGGTTTCCAGGATGATTCCCATGGCATCATTTAGATGAAACAGCTCAAGGGTTCCCTCCATGGTTTCGTCTGTCACTGCCTGGTGGACTTGTGATGCTCAGCCCTTCCCTTTCACAGACTCCCTTTCTGGGACCATAATCCGGTGTGCGCATTAGAGGCACATGCCCGTTTTGTATACTTTCAGGTTTACGTTTCTCAATCCTTTGGCTTTGAGCTTTCCTTTCCAATCGCATGTTTATGTTTTTGATTTTAGCTTTGGCAGAGAACAAAATAAGAGAAACATGCAGCAGACCCACCCACCTATCTCCTTAATCTAGTCCCATATCCCTTGGGGCAAAAATATGGGCAAGACAATCCTAATATAAATAAAGCAGAAAGTAAGTCAAATTGAACATAAAATCTACTCCCCTTTAGAATCCACACATTCACACATCCACTGCAAATCTGATACCATATTGATGAGAGGCAGTCATGGTCACTCAGTGAAAGAATTCTTGTCCCGGATTGATTCCCAACTAGTTCACTTCCAGTGCAGCCACCCACTTGTCTTTCAGCGGAGGCCTGCTTGTTGTTATAATGCTTCTGCAGGGTCCTCATACTAAAACACGCTAGTGATCTACTTCTAGAAATTGGCTACTGAAACCAATAGATCAAAATGCTCTGATCCACAACTGATAATGGGCATGTGCAGGGCCAGCCAGGGTTTACTTCCATTGCACATGGTGTGGTCATGAATCCACAGCAGCTAAAACCAAGTGATAAGAGCTAGGCAGGAAATCAAAATGCAAAGGCATCATTTTTTCCAATGCAACTGTTGTCCCTGCCACTTGGATTTCTTATATGTTTCCATTGATATTGCATGATTTACAATTTTTCTTTCCATCACTAGACTGAAAATTGATGAGATTAGAATTTGCTCATTTCCAAATTCCACTCTGTAGTGTCTTAAAGTTTCAACCAGGGCCACCAACTCACAGAACAACAGGACAGGAACAGTAGGGCCTCAGCCCACAGTCCATGTTTTATGTTGAACAAAAACTGGGGAAATGTGTGTGGAACTACATCTCACGTCATTTCACGACGTTATCCTGTGAACTGTCTCACACACTATCTAGATGATCTAAAAACCCAATAAGCATCAACAGCATGTTGTGTGTTTGTCATGTGTTCCCTGGTGTCCTTCCTACACCATCTCTCACTTAGCACAAGAGATGGAGCGTGAAACAAAGCACTACATGGTACTGAACTTTGAGTCGCTGTGAAAGAATTGTTCAGTAAAGTTAATTATTCATTTCTAATGTCCCATTCATAACAACCTGGATTTCCACTTATTTGGTTTTCTTAATGTATACTTGTGCTAACTCTTTAAGGAGAACAGGAATAAAGAGATTCTCATAATAAGAAGAGATGAGTCAAATAGCATTAAACCTCATTTTGGATAAATGTACTATGTTGGGTATTTGTGGAGTTAAAATCCCTAACTAGTCATCTCTAGGGCACTTGCTTAATTGAGTTTCCAAGAATTGGCTAGATTCATCCCTAATACATCTCATGAAACTTTAGGCTTCTATGCTAAGCCCTGGACAAATCATATATCAATCTTGACTGATGCTCAGTACCTATCAATGGCCTTTTTAAAAACATCATAATTATGGAAGATGATGGGCATACCATCCTTCATTTCTGCAAAATCTCTTTAGGATTTAATATTGCTTTATCTAGAAACACTGAAGAGAAATACATACTTAGATATTATTAACTAGGTCCCACATAAAATTTGGTTTCACGTTATAGACTTTCATCAAAAGCTACAACAACAAAGAGCTACAGGAAACCCACTGTTACAGGTGCCATAGAAATTACACTGAAAACACAACCCCCTACATTATCGTGATTCCTAAATGACCCTCTTGGGCCAGGGATTCTTTTTCTGTCCTTTAGAACCTCTCAACCCCACTCTCCACATTCCACCCCATATGAAAAGAAAGAAAATCTCATAATTGCCTGGGCCTCTCTTTCTAGTACAGGTACCACAGCCTCAAGTTCCAATTTCTAGTTAGATTTCATAATGCTATAGGACTACCTACTGGGAATTTCTTATAGAATAACATTTCTGATTATCTCGCCCTGAGAAAAAAAATTAAGTGAAAGTCACGCCGGGTGTTTTCAGGTGTGTGTGTTCAGAATGTTTTCCTGTGAGTGGTGAATTATCAGGGACTACAGATAGTTTTGTAGTGGTCATTGAAGCCTGACCCCAAGAGCATTCTGTATTTCTCTATAACTAAACTTGGTCTCCCTGGACAAAAAGGAACAGAAGAGAAGATGCCATTCAAAGTTTCATCATTGAGAGAGGTGAGCCTTAACCTGATGGAGAAGCATCAGGGAGCAAGCAGAGATGAGAATGTTGTAGAGGCCATTCTGCCTTCAGATGATGCTATGAGACTCAACTCAAGCCGGGTAGCCATTGTTTCAGATCTATCATCATCAAACTTCATCTACCCAATGAGAAAACACCAGGACTAGAAATGACCCTGCCTTGGGCCAGCGGTGGGCAGTTGTCCCACATATTTCTTTAGCCTCTGTAGATAATAAACAGAACTAAATGGCATGAAGTTCCCAGTATGTTGGATTAGTCTGTATGAGAGATACAAAGTCAACTCGCATGTAATATTCCTAGAAAGCGAAGAGGTTTCTCACACTAAACAAGCAATTTTTATAGCATCTTTATACTCTCACTGTTCTGGATAGTCTTCTCTGGATTTTAGCATCCCTTGCCTTAACTTTGTTTTATTGGTTATTTATAATTTTCTATTACAGTGTCTATGTTCTTATAAGCATCTGTAATTTTTTTGTAGACTGAGTATGAAATGGATCAATGAATAGATGGATGACAGATGGGCAGACATGCGAACTAAAAGATACTGGCAATACTTGTTAACCAATAAAAACAACGTAGACCCCAAAATGGCATTGAATTTTTCTTTACTCATTGCTTAAAATGCATGCCCTCCATGCATACACCATTTCCTAAGCACGAGTATGCACACGCACGAACACACAATCGCCCACAAACCCACGCACGCACGGAATGGACACAAGCAATAGAAATACCTCATCCTGGGCACTGCCGGCTCCTGGAGATTTTCTCTCCTCGCCCACTTCTGGCTGAGGTCCATTATTAACCTGGTCCAGTTCCTCCCCATTTTCCTCATCAGTGCCTCCACTGGCACGAGCAGGATCTGCCTGCCCCTCACTGTGGTCCAGGCTGCCCCTGGCTGGCTCCGGCTCATCTGCAGCCTCCTGGCCTCCTTCATCTTCAACATCACCATTCATTCCTGAAAAGTCTTTCTGCTCCATACCCTGCTCTTCTTTCTCTTCACCTTCTTCTTCATCTACTATTTCGGCTGGCCTCTGAAAGCAAAAGTGAAAAATACAGCTGATACTTTTCCATGGAATGCTGTGACAAAACCACAGTTATTATAATATAGTCAAGTGGAGCTTCTTTGAATTTGCATAGTACTTTACAGTTCATAATACACTAACCTCTACTGAGTATCTACTGTGTGATACACTACACAGTGGGTTCTCCATGAATCCTCACAACAATCCAATAAAGTTGGGACTAATCCCATTTTAGGTGAGAAAACCAAGGCACAGCCTTAATAAGTAGCTAGCTCAAGGTCCCACTGTGTCTGAGTGGAAAAGCCAGGGTTTGAACTAAGCATGTAATTCTAGAATCACTGCTCTTAATCTTCAAGCCAGGCAAGAAACTGAACCACAGAGTCCTGTAGCCAATGCCTTGGAGTGTCTGGCCCAGGAGAGAAGGCAAGATTCTATCTTTACTTCTTAGGCAATGTCTATGAAAGCTGGCAATAAATCTCTACATACAAACATTGATTACTTGTGTATACCCAAGACCACAAAATTATAGATCTTTTTAAATAAATAATAAAAATGCTAAAATAGTTTTATAAACTTGATGAAGGCATTTTTACTGCTCTTTAGATACAGGTAAATCTGAAGGATGGTGAATTCCAGAGCCAAAACTCTAATGGAAGAAAGACCCAGGTTCAAGTCCTGGATAGACACTTACTGGCTGCTACCTACCTTTAAAGTCTCCGTTTGTAAAATGAAAATACCGTAAGACATATGTGGAGATTAATAAATTACACATGTGATGTTTTTGAAGTGGCATGTTCTGTTGCCACCTCATTTAAGTTTTACATTAAAAATGAATGAATAATGGGGGGAATTAACTAAGTTGTAGGCTAAAGTGCGCAGTGCAGTCCCTGATTTATCACAGATCCTAAAAGACATGAAAAACCTTTCTCGGATGTTGTGATACGTTCTTTCCTGGAGCTATTCCTTCATTTTACCCCAAGGAGGTCATTTTTTTTAATGATAAGGTAGAAAGAACACAAGATCCGTTCTATTGTTAAAACCCAAAACCTGCAGTTCACTTAATCCTCCAAAGCAAACACCCAGCCGTCCAGTCGACCCTGACTCACAGACTTCCCAGCCGTCCAGTCGACCCTGACTCACAGACTTCCCAGCCGTCCAGTCGACCCTGACTCACAGACTTCCCTACGGGAGCAGACGGCCTCATGATTCTCCCAAGGAGCAGCGGTTGAACCTCTGACCTTGTCCTCAGCTGCTCAAAACTCATCACACAGAGCCAGCCACCAGAGCTCCTTGTGTAACCCCCAGCCTCTGTGAAATGACCTCCCTTCAACGTTGCAGGTCCATTCTCTTTCAGTTGCCCAAATCACAGTTATGGAACCTCTCATGATCTCTTTTGCAGAAGTAAAAAGAATACTTTCCCTTTGGGAGCTACAACAACTGCTCCCCAAGAAAACAAAAAGCATTCCCGCAAGTCTGACTCCAATTACCAGTAAGACAGACGAGAACTACCCCATAGGGTTTCCACGACTGAAAGAGTGACGGAAGCAAAGTGCTCTCTCTTCCCCTGCAGAGCAGCTGATGGGTTTAACACCTGCTCTTTCAGACAGCAGTCCAAAGCCTAACCCACTGCGACACCAAGGCTTGCTATGGGCAGTGTAAGTAGAGCAAAGTGGAATTGCTCCCTAAGGTTTCTGAGGCTGTAAATCTTTACAGGAGCAGACAGCGGTTAGCAGTTTGATGTGTAAACCCACTATGCCACCAGGGTATCTTGGGAGAAAGTCTAGAAAGAAAACAATAAGGGAGAGTAGGGTAAAATCCAACACAATATCATTTTGAAGGGGGAAGAGTTAGCACTATTAATTCCTCTATTCTTCCAGAGGAAAAACGTCTTAATTTTAGTGATAGTATACTAAACGTGCACTTTAAAAAATGCAGGGCCAAAAGAGCAGTTGTTCTTGAGGTACTGTGAGAACAATGTTTGATATCATGCAGATAAAACAAAAAAAGAAATAAATAAAACCACGACGGTCCATTCTCACTCATAGTAACCATATAGGACTGAGTGGAACTGTCCCTTTGGGGTTCTGAAGCTGTAAATCTTGTATGGAAACAGACAGCCTCATCTTTCTCCTGCAGGACAGATAGTGGTTTTGAACTGCAGACCTTGCAGTTAGCAGCGCAATGTATAATCCACTACACCAGCAGAGTTCCTACCTAAGTTTCAGCGAAATGCCTTCATGTCAAACAGTGTTGCCGCCTGTTCTATTCTGACCATGAAGATCAGTGGGAGGGGGCCCTCAGCCATGATCAATGCAGGGGCAGAAACTCTTGAGTGGTAGGAGGCAGAATTGCAAGGCAGAACAGATAAGAGATGTACGAAGTGGAAACCCACAGTGCTTGGTAAGGATTGCCTTTTCCTTTTTTTTTTTTTTTTGTCTGAACGTGTGAGACCAGAGTCTCTGGGTAAGGCAAACGGTTAAGTGCTAGGTGGCACCTGGTTGGTTGATGGCACTTGTGAAGACAGGCCTGGCGATCTCTCCACAGGGTCCCCAGCCATCGTAAAGCTTATGGAACAAGCAAGAAAAGCGGACTCGGTGGCAAGAGGCTGTTGAATTGGAGGATGTTATGTTGCGTACATCTTTGCCACCGTTAAAGAATAATAATTACACGAACCACAAAGATTACCAGGAAGAAGAAAATGTTCTCAAGCTAATTGTGGCCATGAGTGCAGGACTCTACTGGAGACGATGGAGCGATGGAGGGTATGGGTGGGCTCAGCGCCAGTCGAACTGGACAAAACAGAGAGAAAGCAAATGCGTTTGGAGCTCTGCTCGTTGCTGAACCCTGCGGGGCCAGCAGCAGTCTGATGGCAATTGATTTGTGTGGGGGTTCTTGTTTGCTGGTTTTCATTTTAGCGCGTGGGCCTAACTGAGCTTAGAGCACAGTGGGCAAGAGAGACGTAAAAAGGGGCTTCAAAAATGTGTGGGAACAACTGCAATTTTTAAAAAATAATAGAAAATAGAATTTTCCCACCACCTTCTGGACGGACCCTCATGGAGTCTATGCCCTGGGGTGCAGTTATGATCTGTAAACACTGGGGATACCAAGCTAGCAAAAGCTGGGCCATTGCTCCCAGGAGACTGACTGGGCTCGTCTGAGAACAAAACGCTTTTGGATTTCTATTAAAGACTTTTGGTGTAATTTGGGAGGGAACATTACAAAGACTCAGGTAGAGTACTTAAAGCAGCACATTAAAAAAAAAAAAAAAAACCAAAGTACTGCAGTTATAATGGCCAATAAGAGCAGATTTCTTTAAAAATTACCTCTGCAAATTGGATACCCACAAATCACTTTCCTAGAAATGGTTTCCATTAGCATGTGGTGCCTAATTTGCCTTGTACTGAGAAACTTTTGGTTGGGGCTTTAAAGAAAGTTATACAGGGCTTCTCAATTGAAACAAATATTCATAGTAAATATAGACTCTTATAGAATTGGTGTGCATTAAAGAATCTCTGGTGGCACCATGATTAAGCGCTTCGCTGCTAACTAAAAACACTGGCAGTTCAACCATTCTCCTGCTCTGAGGGAGAGAGACGTGGCCGTTTGCTTCTGTGCAGATCACAGTCCAGGGAACCTGATTGGGCAATGCTGTGGACCTCTGTTCTGTAGGGTTGCTGTGAGTCTTCGTCCTTCCTATGGCAATGGGTTTGTTTTGGTTTTTTTGTATATTGTATTAGTATTCTATTACTACTCTAATTAATTATATCCTATTACTCTATGTATTAAGTGCATACATTATATTAGTAATTGTTCTGGGATATTATTATTTACTATACTCATAATTTATTAAGATTATTTTAAAACCTAAACCATTATAGGCTCCCTGCCTGTCTGATAGTCTGTTACATAAATTACTAAAGCCTATTAAGGTAACGACTTGTAAGTAGGCAAAAGGTCTGGTTTGCCATCTCGCCTTCTAACTTTATACTTAAAATTACAAAGTGATCATGTTAATTTTTTTGTTTTAAATTTTTGAAAATTTCTTAATCTTACTCCTTCCCTCACTCCAAAATCTTGTACATTTTTACTCTTTTTAACGCAGAGGATTGTGATATTCTATATATTTTCTTTTAAAGGAAGAAGGTGCCGTCGTTGACTACATCAACCCTAAACCCAGGCTTCTGGTTTCCTCGCCATTTTTACCACGCCTACTAACAAGCAGTATTATGCTTCCATCCATTATTTCTCCAGCACAGCTATTTTAGCAGTCATCAAATCGCGCTGCATCTAGCTAACTCAACTTTCAGAAATGCAAGATTATGGTGCCGAAATACCAATTTGACCAATTTACGTAAGACGGTAACATTAGTTTAAAAGGCTGATAATCCTTTAAGATCTCCCGAGCCTGGAATGAAATTTATTATTATTAGGACCCTACGCTTCAGTGGGTGGGGAGGGGAGAACGAAGGAAAGAGAGCAACGCTGCTATGACAGATTGGTAATGAATAAATGAAAAGCAATGTGCTTTTTGGTGTAATCTCCTTTGAAGCGGGCATTAAATTATTAAAGATGTTGCCAGTGTATACATCAATCAAATCATCTCCGGAAGGAACACTGCGCTTCATACCATGCATGCACACACACACACACACACACACACACACAATCTATACCATCATGAGGGACTGCAAGCAAGTAAAAGAGAGCATTGCTTTCACAAGAGGAGGAGAATTCCCCTGGTGGGAGAGAGCTCTTCTTGTGAAGCCAAGGAACTTCAAGAGAAAAGGAAAGAGAAAGTGAACATTTCGAGTCTCCATGCAGACTCAGCCTCCACTCGGTCCTTTCTGACCTTGATTCAAATCGAAAACTCCCTGCCCTCAAGTCAGTGATGACTCATAGCAATCCTACAGGACAGGGTAGAGCAATCCCTTGGGATTTCCTAGACTGAAAGCCTCAACATGCTCCCACAGAGCCACGGGGGGTTTCAAATGCCTGACCTTGCAGTGAGC